GGGACAGTGCCCAGGCCTGAGTTCAAGCCCCAGGACCAGCAAAAAAAAAAAAAAAAAGTGAAAGATTTAAATAGACATTTCTTCAGAGAGGATACATAAATGGTCAATAAATACATTGTCACATGTCTATGTAGGAAGCAAAAATTATGTAACACTAAAGGAGTGTGTAGAAAGCGAATGAAATTTGACAAAAGCTCAAGAACTATATCAGAGCCAGCATCTAGTTTGATGATGGTTATGCATGAAATAATCACTGGAGAGACAGAGTGAAGAGTGTACTACATTACTTTATTATTTTCACTGCACTACTTCTTGTACTTGCCTGTGCATTTGCGAAGGTCTCAAAAAAATAATAAAAGTTATAACCAACATTACAAAAAAATCCTAGAGAAGCACCAAAGGAGTTCCATTGCAAACTGATGATACAACCATCCATAGATTTTTGTCTTTCCATCTCCCAAGGTGTCCTTTAGAGTTTAAAAGGGGAGGGGTGATTTTCATGTGTCATCAGGCACAGATAGAGCTGGTTTTCTCAAAATTGGGATGTAAAGTTCTTCATAGAGTTAAACTAGTAAACAATAAACAGTTTATCCATGGACAGCTAGCTCACACTGCACCTTCTACTGTAATCCCCCAACCCCTTATCTACAGATTCATTTAGTTGCCCACAGTCAGCCAATGGCTACTTCATATGATTCCACAACTAAGCAAATGAAGAAAAGAAATGTATTAGAAGATAATAAAACACCAGAGTCTCAGAAAGGCAGACCTTCCACAGCAAGATACTAAGATTAGTTTTTTGGGGAAAGCCACTTGTAGGACACAATTACAACTATAAATCAGGGTGTGTGTACCATTCTAGATACATGGAAGCACAGAGAAGAAAGTGTTAACTTGTTCTGATGCCTGGCCTTCAAGATGGGAATCTGGTTCTAACATAAGCATTGATGTGCTCAGTCATTTGAAAGCATGTATGGGACATAGATTTGGGGCCAGGTACTTTCCATATGTCATCATTAATCCTCAGAGAAATCTTAACAAATAGAAGTGATCTCTAGGATTAGATTTAGGCTTCAGAGATGAATAACCTGCTCAAGATTGCATGGGGCTGGGCTGGATTTCCATCCTATGCTTTGCATCCCACTTCTGCGATCCCACTCTAGAGGAAATGCATGCAGGAAGCTAAGGTAGCTTGTTTCCAGGTCCTTAAAGGCACGTATCTTCTTCATGCTCCTTATCTACTTGCTTGCTTCCAAATATTGACTTTCCAATGTGATGGTTGGCCCAATGGACGGTTCTGTTTCTCATCATGTATCTGTATGTTGGCATTATGATTCTGTCACCAATGTAATGTCATAATGGTTGTCATTTCCTCTGGGGATGACAAATTCTGAGTGCACAGGAGCATTCATCACTGCAAAGATCTAACATACTGGACTTGGATTCATCACCTTAGGAAGGCCTCAAATCTTTGGCATCATTTGCTCTCTTTGAATTCAATAAGCTTTATGCAGAGATATAGGAAAATTGCATTACATATTTCAATAACAGAGTCAGGCCCAAGAGTCAGCTTCTGGCAAAACTGAGGCTAGAAGCTAGCGCATAACCATCTTGTAACTCATCAGCCAGAGCATCCTTTCCAGTGGTAGGTCTGGTCATTATAATTCATTTACCTATTTGCTTACCACCCCTATTTTCTGTACTTTCTCTACATCTTGGCCACTGATGGAATTATTTTTGGTACTGTAATTGATAACTTTATTAAAGCTCACAAGTTTGGACATGAATAAATTCATAGACACTGACTAACCACATTGTATGTGCTTAAAATCTTCACCATTCCTCTACTTTAGGTAAACTGGAAAGCCAGGTACCACTACCTCATATGTTTTACAGTAGTCCTCTCTTTATTCTAGTTTTACATTCCATGTTTTAGTTGCCTATAGTCAACTATGGTCCAAAGATCTTAATGGATAATTCCAGAAATAAACATTTCCTAAATCTTGAATTGTGTGCTGCTCTGAGGAGTATAATCAAATCTTGTGCCATCCCACTCCACCCTGCCTGGGGCATGAATAATTCCGTGTCCAGTGTATATACACAGTATATGCAACCTGCCCATTAATCACTCAATAGCCTTCTCAGTTATCACAACGCAGGGCTTTGTCCTTCAGGGACTCCTCATTTACTTAATAATGGCCCAAATTGCAACATGTGATCTTGGCAATCCATATATGCTAAAGAGAAACCATAAAGGGCTTCCTTTAAGTAAAAAGGTATATATTAGGGAGTACATGTAGGATAGACGCTATGCATGGTTTTAGACATTCTCCCAGGGTTTTAGAATATATCCTCCCAGATAATGAATGATTACTCTTTCTATATAGTATAGACTGGTGTGAATAAATAGTTGTGGTCATCAGAACTCACCAAATGCAAGTGGGTATCAATAATCATGAAGTAGACTAAATTAATTGAAAGTATTTCTTCAATGTCTTTCAACTTCGCACTTGGGTTATTTAACACTTCTTCCAGATAGGTGTTTAGGCTGAGTGGTGGCTGTTAAAAATCATACCAGTCTGGTTAATGTCTGTCTCCTGGTCCGAAAGACAAATCAAGCAGGCTGGTTCTGACACTTTCCAGGAGGGAATGGTTCAGAGGTCTTCAGGAGCATCACTGTCCTACAGTATCCAATTCCAGAAGGTCCTGAAAGTCTCAGCACACGTGACAGTAGTGTCAGCAGGGGTGCCAAGAAATGTGCAATGTGTGTTCAGATGCAATAAGTGAAATTGTGGGAGTTGCAAATGTTAAAATAATGAACACTGAGCTGGGTGTTGGTGGCTCATGCCTGGAATCCTAGCTACTCAGGAGGGGGAGATCTGAGGATCGCAGTTCAAAGCCAGCCCAGGCAAGAAAGTCCATGAGACTCTTATCTCCAACTAACCACCAGAAAATTGGAAGTGACACTGAGGCTCAAGTGGGAGAGCACTCGCCTTGAGCTGAAGAGCTGAGGAACAGCTCCCAGGCCTAGAGTTCAAGCCCCACTACTGACAAAATAATAACAATAATAGTAATAATAATGATGAACACTGAGATCTCAGTAGAAATGCTGTTTAAAGGCTGAGAGTTCAAGTCCTACTACTGACAAAATAATAACAATAATAGTAATAATAATGATGAACACTGAGATCTCAGTAGAAATGCTGTTTAAAGGCTGCAGTTGTGGGGCTGGGAAGGTGGCTCAGTGGTAGAGTGCCTTCCTTGCATGCCTGAGGCCCTGGGTTCAATTCCTCAACACCACATAAGCAAAAAGAAAAAAGCCAGAAGTGGCTCTGTGGCTCAAGTGGTAGAGCGCTAGCCTTGAGCTGAAAAGCTGAGGGACAGCACCCAGGCCCAGAGTTCAGACCCCACGACCGGACCCAAAAAAAAAAAAAAACAAAGGCTGCAGTTGTAGCTCAGTGGTAAAGCACTTGCCTAGTAGGTGCAAGGCCCTAAGTTCCATCTCCAGAAAAAAGTTATTAATCACATTACTATTTTTTTTTTATTAGAAGAGCAGTAGAGGTCACTGGGCTGCTTTATTTTCTTAGGACTGGAATTTTGTTGTGTCTGGTGATTTGTGTGTTGGTTTTAGGCATATTTAAGATATCAGGTGTTAATTTGCTATTTATCATTTTTCATAGAAAATTCTAAAACTTCATTTTCATTCCAGTAGAGGGGTAGGTTTTTTTTTTTCTTTTTGGTAGTACTGGGGTTTGAACTCAGGGCTTCATACTTGTAAACAGGCATTCTACTGCTTGAATCATACCTTCACCCTTTTTAACTGGGATTATTGTTTGAGATAGTATGAGATTCTTTTTCCCAAGCTTATCTACACCATGGCTCCCTGCTTATACTTCCCACTGTAGCTGAGATGGCAGGTGTGTACCACAATGCCCCGCTTTTTCTGTTGAGGTTGAGTTGAGACTTGCAAACATTTTTTGGCCTGTGTTGGCCTAAAACCCTATGTAGATAGGGAGAATGAGGATTTTTATGCAGCTATTTTAGCTTTAAAAATGTAATATCCACAAAGGCTCAACATCTATATTTTATTGGAGTTAATTTAATGCATTGCTTTTCACAGCGTTCATCTTTACAGTTCACCAAGACAGCTGCTCAATAATGTGTCATGAGAAAAGTTCAGATTTGCAAAGCATTTGTCATTTCCCTCTATGTTGCTAATTTATTTAGCAACCACTCATTTCTAATGCTGCTGCTGGCCAGATTATAGACTAATATGCATGTCAGGTCCATAAATCCATAAATGTTCCTAAGAGCATTAAGGGTGGCTGAAGTATGCCTTTTGTACCTTGTGACTCTCCTTACAGTCCTAACTCAAAGCTCTTTCTGCTTTCCTAAATATAGCCAGGAACAGACCAGTCTAAAAGCCCTTTTCTTCTTTTTTCTTCTATTTTTTTGTGGAACTTTTTTCTGTTTGATCTCAGGGCCTTGCCTTTGATAGGTAGCCTCTCCTCCTCTTCAGCCAATCCTCAGCCCTTTTACTTAAGAGTCATGTTTTTGCTGAGTCAACAGTCTTGTACCTCCCACATAGCTGTAATGACAGGCATATACTACTCTGCCCACCTTACTTGGTGAGATGTAGCTCACTAACTTTTTTTTAACTTTTTTTTTTCTGTGCTGGCCTTGAACTCTGTAATTCTCCTAATCTCTGCCTCTCAAATTGCTATGAGTCATCACACCTGGCCCGATCATAAAAGGTTTTATAAGAATTTTTTCATCCAATCGTTCCTAAGATGGGAATATTTAATGTAATATTAGATAATAATCATTGGTGTTAACTGCTCAGTGGCTCTCCCACAGGAAGGAAAGGGCAAGAATGACAGATATGAATCATAGTTTCATAAAACATTTCTTCCAGATGGACTTCCTGACCATTTAAAAAGAATCAGGTGAAGTTTTGCCTTCATTATTGATGAGTTAATGAATGATTATTTTCATTACAGTGGCACAGGCATGGATGGGAAGAAATGCAGTGTGTGGATGTTTCTACCTCTGGTTTTTACTTTGTTTACTTCAGCTGGGCTGTGGATAGTGTGAGTATGTCCTTAATTGATATTTTCAGAATTCAGGTGCACTGTAGATTTCAAATCGTCTTGATAGGGCATTTCTTTTTAATGTATTTATAAATAATTCACTTACCTATTTTATTTTTATTATCTTTAAGTAGTTGTACAAAGGGGCTACCATTCAACATATCAGTTTAAAAGTGCAAAACAGGACCCTGGAACTGGTGGCTCATGCCTGTAATACGAGCTACTCAGAAGGCTGAGATCTGAGGACTGAAGTTTGAAGCCAGCCTGGCCAGGAAAATGCATGATACTCTTATCTCCAATTAAACACCAAAAAGCCAGAAATGGAGCTGTGGCTCAAGTGGTAGAGCACCAGCCTTGAGCAAAAAAGCTCAGGTATACTCTCAATCTCTGAATTCAACACACACACACACACACACACACAGAGTACAATGCACCTTGATCAATACCACCCTTTTCATCACTCTTCCATCCTTCTTTTCTTCATTTATCTAGCCCTATCCTTTAAGCTCCCTCCTGCATCTGAAGTACCAACTTCCTTGTGTTCATTTTGTTGGACTGTGAATTAGTTGTTTTAAGGGGTTATACCATTTGGATTCTCCCCTGCATGCCATACTTCAGTCAATACATACTTCAGTTTGCACATTGTGTTTACTTGTGTATTTATAAGTTAGAAATTGCTTCCACATATGAGAGAAGGGTGCTGTTTGTTTCTCTGGGCCTGACTTACTTCATTGAGCATACCCAAAGACTCAGGGCTGTCTCTCAGCTTTTTTGCTCAAGTCTGGTGCTCTACCACTTGAGCCACAACTCCATTTCGGGGCGTGGGGGTGCTACTTAATTGGAGATAAGAGTCACAACACTTTTCTACCCAAGCTGGCTTCTATCTGAGAGCCTCAAATCTTAGCCTTTTGAGAAACTAAGATTATAGGTGTGAGCCATTGGTGCCCAACCTTTAAATACTTTTAAATAATATATTTACTAGTTCAATTTTTCTTAACTCCTCCTGGCTTTTCTCACCTTTTATTACTCAAAATAAATAGTGAGACTGATCAATAAATTATGTGAACCAGATCTTAAAGAATACTGGTTGTATTTTGTGCTTATCTGTTCTTCCTGTGATGCACATTAGTAAACAGGTTATAGGAATTCAGTATTTGCAAGATTTTCTCACTTGAACGGACAGAATTCTATTTTTAGTCCAGTTTATTGAAGAGTTATTTTGATGAAGTCTATTATGCCCATAAGCTGAACATCAGTACATTTTATATTTCTATGGTAAACCATAGACATATACCCAGACTTGCTTCTTTCAAGTAATATTCACTTTAAGGATTTTTTTTTAGTTTTTTGAAGCTTATTAAGAATGATGGACACAAGCAAGGCATCAGTGGCTCATGCCTATAATCCTAGTTACTCCAGGGCTTAAGATCTGAGGGTCATGGTTGGATGCCAGCCTGGAAAGAAAAGTCTGCAATGCTTGTCTTCAACTAACAAGCAAAATATGCCCAGCTGAAGGTGTGACTCAAGAGGAGACCACCAGCTGTAAGCAAAACATCTGAGCAACAATGCAGGCCCAGAATTCAAGTACCAGTACCAGCACAGAAAGAAAGAAAGAAAAAAAGGAAGAAAGAGAGAGGAAGGGAGGAAGAGAGGGAGAAAGAAAGAGAGGGAAGGAGGGAGAAAAGAAGGAAAGTGGGAAGGAAGGAGAGAACAAAGAAGAAAGATAAACAATAAAAGAATGGTGGGCACATATTCCTAAGAAATTAGAAACTCTGAAGTCTCGTTTGCACAATTGTTAGGGTCTCTGTTTTCATTTTGTTTTTGTTATTTTGCCAATAATAGGGTTGAACTCAAGAGTTCGCATTTGCTCATTTTGTTTGCTCATGGCATTCTCCACCATTTTCAATCACACCTCCAGCTAGCTTTTTGCTGGTTATTTTGGAGATGGAGTTTTATAGACTTTTCTTCCCAGGTTGGTTTCAAACAGAGATCCTGTAGATCTCAGCCTTTTGAGTAGATAAGATTACATGTGTGAGTCACCAGTACTGGGCTCAAAGTTTATTTCTTTGTTTTCTAGTTTCTACACTATACTCATCACTATTAATTTTGGAGGTGTTTAGAAAGCCAGAAAAATATTAATAATGGCATTTGATCCTCAAAGAAGTAGTTAAAGAGCATTGAACTGGGTGCTGTTGGCT